AAGGGTCGGGAGAGGGGTGAGGGGAGGGGAGGGAGAGAGATCGAAGAATGAGGGAGGGAGAAGAGATGAAGCAGGGAGGGGAGGAGAAGAGAGGATGAGAGATTGGTAGAGGGCAGGGAGAGGAAGGCAGGAAGTGAGAGGGGAGGGGAGGAGAAGGAGCGGAGGGGAGGAGGAGAAGGTTGGTAGAGAGGGTGCAGAGAGCGCGAGGGACTTGTAGATGGAAAGGTTGGTAGACCAGAGAGGGTTGTAGGGAGGCGAGATCAGTGTGCAAAAATTCGATTAGGCCACTTGAAAGGTGTAAACAATTCTGCATACAGAAAGATGTTGTGTTGTTGGTGTGCGGTGAGAATGAATAGCTAAAGTGGCTTACCCACAGAAGAAAGCAGCGCGAAAAGAAGCAATGGAGACACAACAGCGTGGATTGAGAGAAACGATAGCCGTAATGTGAGAAGAGAGGCCAGTAAGCTTGCTTCATGTGCAGCAGTGTTCTCACTGTGATCAAAACGCGTCACGCTTCCAGCGCGCAGTGAAATGACACGATTTGCAGAGTTGGAAGAAGATATTGCTTGCTGAAGAAATGGCTGCATGAGATGAAGAATTAAGTCTGCAGCCGTTGCACGTCGCCGACAGCTCTCCTTGATCGCTGGAGACGAAGCTTCACGAGAGAAAGTGATGACCTGTTTCTTCTTCGCGTCGGTCTTTCTTCGTCTTATTATTATTATTATAATTATTTATTTTTCTCTTTCTCTTCTCCTCATCATATTCACCTTTCTTCTTTTTTTTCTTTCGCTGGCTTCGTTGCCCCGTTTTCGACCATCGTGTGTTCTCGTCATCAATCTGCTAAAAGTATTCATATCTCTTGTCAGCGGGTACCACATCCTTATTTGCAGACACCTGCATATGGTAGGTTGATATATCGTTATAAGGTGAAAAAAGAGTGAATAAACTGCTTATATGATAGTGCCATGCTAGCGTTCTGCTGCGGGATTCTACAAAACGCAAGATTCTACAAAACTGAATCTGTCAGTTATGAAATGTCTGGTAGAAGATTGTGATGCGACCTTTGTTGCTTTCGCGCCACTTTCAAATTATTCCCTCGATATATTAGCAGTTAACCAGTAGCATTACAATTAGCTTTTTTAAACTGTTCAGTTGAACTCTTGATTGATATAGAGGTCAGTTGTAATTATGCAGGTGTTATCTACGATCACACCGCAGATTATCCACATCGCAAAATCTTTCCACATCACTGCCGTGACTTGCTAATTGCAATACAAATTCTTAGTAATCACGGGTAGCTAATTGCCAAGTGCGTTTTACCATGTTTAAAGCTACACATATGTTTGACGGCAGTCGTCGCGTACAGTGCCTTAGCCTTCGAGAGAGTAGGTGCGCTCCGTGAATGAGCCTGTACTACTAGTCTTTTAGTGCACATGGTGTCACCAGGCTACCAGACAGGTAGTAAGACATTAGCTACGTCTTTGTTGTATAATATGTTATATGCGCGTTCGTGCATGCGTACGTGTGTGTGTGTACGTTCTTATATGCGCGCGAATGTGTCTGCGTGCGTGCGTATGTACGTACGTGCGTTTCCGCGTGCGCGTGCATGTGTGTGCGTGCGTTTATTTGCGTGCTTGCCTGCGCGTATGTACGTGCGTGCGTGTCTGTGTGTGCGCGTACGCGTCGTATTCATGTGACAGCAGGAATCCTTGGTGACAGATGCTTCGCATCCGTGCCTGGCCGCTGGTCCATACTCAATATAACCAGATAAAGGCGCGCTACGCCCACAACCATTGTACGCAAAACTCGTAAAACATTCATTATGCTCGTGCAATGACAGTGACTATCAACCATCAACCCTGCTCGTGGGGGTAATGAGATAAATTGTACTGTTCGTATGCGCGCGGGGGTGTGGAGGTGACCAGCGAACAGTAGCGGCTGTGTACGCGGGCAGCGATGGGTGTTCCATCCCTGTTTAGAAAGTGTTGATTTGAAGTTGAGTTGAGTGCGTTCAGTTTGATTCGAGTTATTTGAAGTGTTGATGTATTGTTTTAACGTGTTGTTTGCTGACAACCGAGGTTTATTGGTTTTATCTGGCATTTTCAGTAGGATGGCGCCATGCCAACATATGTGCGTGCGTGTGTGTGTGCGCGTACGCGTCGTATTCATGTGACAGCAGGAATCCTTGGTGACAGATGCTTCGCCATCAGTGCCTGACCGCTGTCCAACTCAATATAACCTGACAAAGCGCGCTACGCCCACAACCATTGTACGCAAATCCTCGTAAAACATTCATTAGGCATCGTGAATGACAGTGACTTCAACCATCAACCCTGCTCGTGGGTAATGAGATAAATGTACTGTTCGTATACGCGCGGGTGGTGGGAGGATGACCAGGCGAAAGTAGCGGCTGTGTACGCGGTAGCGATGGGTGTTCCATCCCTGTTTAGGAAGTGTTGAGTTGAGTTGCGTTCAGTTTGATTCGAGTTAGTGTTGAAGTGTTGATGTATTGTTTTAACGTGTTGTTTGTGACAACCGAGGTTTATGGGTTTTATCTGGCATTTTCAGTAGGATGGGCGCATGCCAACAGGAGCAGCATAGCTTGCATTCATGTTATATTAAATAATTACCATTTATAAACTACGGTCTCGTAAACTGCACTGCTTTTCATCAAGCGTGCAAAAAAGTAAACTCGTTCAAGAACCAGCGATAAGAACGTTAAGATGCAGTAGAAGGAACAATGAGGTTGAACTTATAATAGTCGCGGCGTGTGCTATTGGTATTATTTACTACTCGGCCTTTCTGTTCAAGCTCGCCTGTTTATTTGCGGCAATGTAGGTCGTATTTCGCAGTTGCCTCCCCGATTACCGTCTATATAGCCCACCTGCGTGGCATTAGTTAATTGTCTGGATTCCCCAATATGTTTGCTGATGTGCTATTCCAAGTAACTCGATACTAATTGACAAGCGCACAGAAGAAAAATCCATAACGATTGGTATACAAGTATACATGTTATTCGGTTTACAATGGATCTGTGCAATTAATGTAAAATATAAACGGATGTAAATGTAAATGGATTTTCCATTGAACGCCGCTAGTCAAGCAAATTCACGAGGCATATGAATATCTATTTTAGAAATACCGTGATAGGTCAGCGTTCCCGTATTGAACCCGTTATAGGCAAGTGCTGCCATCTGTTGGCAGATGCAGTGTTTAAACGTGTGCGCTACTGTGGAGTTGGAATCGATACAGGCGTGTAGCGACCGCATTTATTTGTTGTCAATATCGTTTTGGTTTCATATCTCAAGAGGGGGAGGGGGTACTGTTCACAGTTCACAGTGAAAATAAACTGCTTTTCACATTTCACAGTGAAAATAATGCTCTTTTCATAGATCACGGGGATAATCCAGTTTACAGCTAAAATTTCAGACACAGAAGATAAGGTCCTAGAAGTATACAAGTGTGTTTCTTGACTAACAACACTTCTGAAAATCAAAAATATGCTTGCGCAGCCAGCGTAGTCATGCTTATACGTGTGTGTGTGTGTGTGTGTGTGCGTGCGTGCGTGCGTGCGTGCGTGCGTGCGTGCGTGCGTGCGTGCG